ATTCTAACCAGCTATGTGTCCAGCTTAAAAGCAGAAATCCTATTAGTATGAAAGAGAAGGGGTGAGTGGGTAGAGGGAGACACCTAGCAGGGCCTTCCACCATCACCTTTAAGAGAGGATTTTAACCTGTCACAGCAAATCTACCTTGAAAGAATGGGCACAGGAAGTTTTTGAAACAGGAGGTTTAAAAACAAAAGGAATGTGCTCTGCCTGCCCTTCCCTTCCCAGCCCTCAGTGCCCACTCCACCAGCCACACAGAAGCAAGAAGTCAGTCCAAGATGAGTCCTTTACAAAACCCTCCCGAGACCACGTTCTGTGGCACATGATTCCTGGGGCCACGTGCCCACTTCCTCCTGGGTCCTCTCTGGCATGGGGTGGCTCTCTCCCGGCAGGGGCTCTGTGACTGCCCTCAGCAAACCGCAGTTTGTACAGCTGTCCGTTCTTCAGATGCCCCTGGGTCACAACATGAAAACAAAGGAGAGGCTGTTTTGGACAAAGAATACCAAAGGTAGGATGGTGGTCTCTTTGCTTCCAAACCTGCCCTAAGGCTACATTTGACACAAAGGGGGAAAAAAATTGAGTGAGAAAAGGAGGCATCAGGAGACTTCCTAAAGCAGGTGTGTTTCTAAATTTTGGCAGGCAGGATTGCCATGGTAACCAGGACCCCAGAACCTTGGATGGAATAGGCTGACCTAAAGCTCTGCCAGACATGTCTGGACAGGCCATTGAGGATAGAATGGGATTGCAGCATGCCACACTGCTGTGGACAGTTCTGTGGTTTCTGGGCCTTTAGGCCCCCATGTAGTGGAGAGCAGGAGACAATGCCCAGGTGTGGCCATGTTTCTGGTTCTCGTCTCTTTACCTGGCTAATTTTTGCTCATCCTTCAGAAATAGTTTAGATGTCATTTCCTCTAGGAAGCCTTCCCTGGCCCCACCCCCTCCCCAGTTGGCATTATAGAACCCTTCCCTGCACCCCCCAAGTCCCAAGGGAAAGCACTCACTGGCAGCTACTGCTCCACTACCTTCCCAGTGCCCAGCATGTAGCCTCCTCATCCGCACACTTGGTTAGAGTTTATCTTGTAGATGTGACTATGGAACCATTTCAATAATTTATCCTATATAATAAAAGGCTAATATGCAAATCTACCAAAGATAGAACAACCGGTTGCTATGATGCACACTGACCACCAGGGGGCAGACGCTCAATGCAGGAGCTGTCTCCTGGTGGTCAGAGCACTCCCATAGGGGGAGCACTGTTCAGCCAAAAGCCAGGCTCACGGCTAGCTAGTGCAGCAGTGGTAGCAGGAGTCTCCCTGCCTCTGTGACAGTCAGGCATCCCCCACGGGCTCCCAGACTGCTAGAGGGCGCAGGACAGGCTGAGGGACACACACACACACACACACACACACACACACACACATACACACATACACACACACACACTGAGTGCACTAATGTCATGCACCAGGCCTCTAGTATCATTATAATGCACATTTGATTTTAGTAATTACTTTTGTGAAATTTCACAACATTTATTTTCTTTTATTTTAGTTTTATATATATCCCCCTCCATATACCCCTCAACAGTAAGAAACCTCAAATTTATTATTTTCACATTACTTTTGTGAAAAATTAATTTCACAAATTTGATAGCAAACTGTTATGAACCTAATTGTATAGGGGTGAGAAAAAGTAGGTTTACAGTTGTTTACAATAGGTTCATAGTATGCTTATTTATTAATTATTATTTATATATTTTCATATGAAACTCTAAACCTACTTTTCTCCTCCCCCTATATATTGAGTTGGTGACATAACTATATAGAGAGAAGGCTTTATTTACCCATATTTTTATCCTTTTCCTTTTCTTTTTCTTTTTCCTGATGCTTCAAGATTCCTTTTGTTTTTAAACCTCCTGTTTCAAGAACTTCCTGTGCCCATTCTTTCAGGGTAGATTTTCTGTGACAGGTTCTTAGTTTCCCATCATCTGAGAATGTCTTGATTTCCTCTTTATTCCAGAAAGATATGCCCTCTGGATATAAAATTCTGGGTTGACATACTTGGAAAATGTTATCCCACTTCCTCTGGCCAATAGAAATTGACAAGCTTATTTTAAAATTGACATGTGGATGCCAAATTTATACATAGAAGCCAAAAACATCTTGAAAAATAAGAACAGGATTGGAGAATTTACACAGCCTGATTTCAAAACTTACTGTAGCCGCAGCTGGTTTAGCTCAGTGGATAAAGCATTGGCCTGCAGACTGAAGGGTCCCAGGTTTGATTCTGACCAAGGGCATATGTCTGGATTGCAGGCTCGATCCCCAGTAGGGGACATGCAGGAAGCAGCTGATAAATGATTCTCTCTCATCATTGATGTTTCTATCTCTCTTTCCCTCTCCCTTCCTTTCTAAAATCAATTAAAAAAATTTTTTTAATTTATTGTACAGCTACAGTAATCAAGACAGGAAGAAATTGGTATAAGATAGATATATCAGTAACACAAAAGAGAGAATCCAAAAATAAATTCTCACACTTACTATCAATTATTTTTTGGCAAAGGATAAACTTTTTACAGTGGTGCTGGAACAACTGAATATCCATATGCATAATGGTTATTTTAGACCTTTACCTCATACCATACACAGAAATTAATTTACATTAGATCATACCTAAGTAAGAGCTAAAACCGTAAAATTTCTAGAAGAAAGCATAGGAAAGAATTTTAATGACCTTGGTTTAGACAGCAAAAGCAAGATTTATGGAAGAAAAAATTGATAACTTAAAATTTTTGGTTTTTCAAACTGAACTACCAAGCAAAATAGAGACAGACTCATAGAGATCATGCAGACAATGGGGCAGAAGGGCAGAGGTTGTAGAAGTGGAGGGACTGAACAAAAAAGAAAAAGAGCCAAAACTGGTTTGGCTCAATGGATAGAGCATTAGCCTGCAGACTGAAAGGTCCCAGGTTCGATTCCGGTCAAGGGCATGTACCTTGGTTGTGGACACATCACTGGTAGGAGGTGTGCAGGAGGCAGCTTATCGATGTTTCTCTCTCATCGATGTTTCTGACTCTCTATCCCTCTCCCTTCCTCTCTGTAAAAAAATCAATAAAATATATATTTGCCGAAACCGGTTTGGCTCAGTGGATAGAGCGTCAGCCTGCGGACTGAAAGGTCCTGGGTTCAATTCCGGTCAAGGGCTTGTACCTTGGTTGCCGGCCCATCCCCAGTAGGGGCTGTGCAAGAGGCAGTTGATCGATGACTCTCTCTCATTGACATTTCTGACTCTCTGTCCCTCTCTCTTCCTCTCTGTAAAAAATCAATAAAATGTATTTTTTTAAAAAAAGAAAGAAAGAAAGAGAGAGAGAGAGAGCTCAAGGACAAGGACAACAGTGTGGTGATTGAGGGAGTGTAGGGGGACGGGTGGAAGTGGAAGAGGGCATAGAGAGGATAAATAGGGATGGGGGAATAAAATGTGTAATTTTAAAAAAGATTCATATTTTTTAATTAAAAAAAACTTTTGTTTTTCAAAATACACCATTGAGAAAGTGGAAAGACAAGCTACAAACTGGGAGATAATATTTTCAAATCATGTATCTGATAAAGAACTTGTATCCAGTATATACAGTATATCTGAAAAACATATATTCATACTTTAACAACTGAGAGTTCAATTGATGTTTCTTTCTTTTCAGCCAGACTAAACTTTGAACAAAGGAAATTCATCCTAAAATGCTACTGGAAGTTTGAAAACCTAGTTGAAGTACATTTGGGGAAAATGTAAACACACTTTAACAGTTGATAACTCAATTTTCACTCCCTTTCAGACTTAGCTGATTTGTCCCCTTGACAGGGAGTTAGACTAGGAGTTCAACCAAGGGGCGGAGCCAGCCAGTCAACCGCCTGCATCCCCTCCCCCTAGGCGGCATGGCCAAGCAAGCTGGCTGGACCCCACCTAGGCATGAATTCATGCACCAGATCTCTCGTTCCGTAATAAGGAGTGAACTGCTGATATACATTAAGACATGGGAAAATTTCTAAAGCATCAGTCAAGGAAAGAGGCCAGATATAATCACATGTGTATGGTCCCATTTCTGCAAAATTTCTAGAAAATCAAAACTCTAGTATCAGCAATAGATTAGTGACTGCCTGAGGCTGGAGAAGTGAAATAGGCACTGAAAATAGGCACAATGGAACTTTGGAGTGATGGAAATGTTTTAAAACTGCATCGTGCTGACTTCATATTGGGGAAATTTTACAGCATATAAATGATTTTTTTTTTTAAATACACAAAACTGCAGCATTATTTGCAAAAGCAAAAATGTGGAAGCAACCCAAGTATCCCTAAGTGGATGAAAGGATAAACAAGATGTGGTCTATACCTACAAGATGTGGGAATATTGTTTAGCCTTAAAAAGAAGGAAATTCTAACAAGTTCCAAAGCATGGATGAGACTTAAAGAGGTTATGCTAAATGAAATAAGTCGGTCACAGAAAGACAAACACTGCATGATACCACTTATAAGAGGTGCCTAAAGTGGTTAAATTCAAAAAGACAGAGTAGAAGGGTAGTGCCGGTGACTGAGGGGAGGGTACATTGGGGAGTGTTTCATGGGTAAATAGTTCCAGTTTTACAAGATGAAAAGGGTTCTGGGAATGGATGGTGGCAATAGTTGCACAATCATATGAATGTATTGAGTACCACTGACTTGTACACTTAAAAACAGAAGGGTACATTGTATGTATAATACATGTTCCACACAATTTTTTTAAATAAATCATTTGTAAAGCTTCGTCTCATTTCTTTGTCACCCAATCTTTTGAGGAGGTATTATTTATTTTATTCATTGCCTGAGAGAACTGGGATTCAGAGAGATTTGGGGTTCCATCTTCCCAACGTATTAGACTTGGAAGACTGCACCTCTCTGCAGCATCCTCCTCCACATCCCCCTCTGACTAGAGGAAACCTCACCCGCTCCCCTGTTCCTTTTCCCCACAGGCACGGCAGGGATCTATCAAGGAGCGAACGGTCTGACCAGCGCTGCAGGCTTCGGAAGTGTGCACCAGGTACACCCACCAATTGTTGTCTCCGTTCTTTCCTTTCAAAAACATCACATCAGGTCACCCAGAATGCCTTTCTTCAGGGAACCCAGAATGCCTTCTCCTGCCCCTGACCCCCACCAGAAGTCCCAGTCTCTTCTTCCCTGGGTATGGAAGCCACAGGGGAGACTGTAAATGGCCATTGGAAAGATACAGAGTAGAGGCAGAGAAATTGGATGAGAGAGGCCATATTCTATATTACATACTGGCCTGAGCCAGAGACACCCAATGACTGTTGAATCTAGAATGCAAGAATGCAAGGTGTCTGCTCTTTGGCAGACTATGGGCTTCTCAAGGGTGAAAGCATCTGAGTGTCGCGTGCCGGGCACACAGTGGGGACTTTATAAATGCTAGCTTCAGTCGAACTAAAGCAATACTTTAAAGATGAGCGCTGACTGGTAGTTTGATTCCCATGGTTTCACTTTAGAGAGTGCATTCAGAATCAACCTGCCCAAGGTATTTGGGAACACTGTGTTATCTGTGCACCTTTGCTCTGTCTAAACTTATTTCAAAACAAAAGATTAAGCCCTGGCCTGTTTGGCTCAGTGGATAGAGTGTTGCCCTGCGGACTGAAGGGTCCCAGGTTTCATCCCACCTACTTCATTTGCAGGCTCGATCTGGGCCGTGTGCGGAGGCAACCAATAAATGTGTCTCTCTCACAGTGATATATATCTTTCTGTGTCTTTCCCACTCTCTCTAAAAATTAATGGAAAAATTATCCTCAGATGAGAATTAACAACAACAGCAAAAAAAGATTAACATGCTTTCGAGCTAGTGTTAAAAGGCCTGAGGTAGAGGACCTTTCAGAATATTTAACATATTTAAATATGGGGAATGCACTATTTCTCCAGTGAGCTGAAGAATATAAATGACTTCAACCTTGGAATATGCAAAAATTAGTTCACATGTTTTTGTATTACTTGCAGTATAATATATACATAGATAAAATACTGGTAAATAAAAGAGCACAGTTCTTTTTTCTGAGGATTAGTTTATTTCACCATGGGAGCTTGTCAAAAATGCAGATCCCTAAATGCCATCCCCAGAAATTCTGAATCAGTAGGTCTGTGAAGGGCCTGAAAAGCTGAACATCCCACGATTCCCTGCAAGGTTGAGAAGCACTGGTTTCTGGTGATGAAACAGAAAGTTTGAAACTACGGCTATTATGGAAGAGTTGGGAGGTCTGGTTGGCTTGAGCAGAGCTTGGTAAAAGAGGATTGGCATTCTTTGGTTTGCTCTCCAAGATTCCCTCACAGAAGTTTCTGGGTCCCTAATGCCATGTAGGTATCTGCACTCCTTATGAACCTAAAATGTTACCTCTCTCCTGGGTATGTGGGTGTGTAGTCTTTATTACTTCGTTTGTTCTTTACCATCCAGTATTTATTGAGAGCCTGAGTGTGCCCATCGCTGTCCTGGGCGCAGGGCACACAGCAGTGAGCATGGCAGATGCTACCAGGCCACAGCCATGTCCCTCAGGGTACACCTGCTGACCTCCAGCTGCCAATCTCTGCATACCTAGGTTGTTTTTTAGAATCAGTGAGTGGGGCAGGCAGGAAGAGCCAGGGAACTGATAGCCCCTGGGAGCAGCTCTCAAAACTGGCTGCAGTTGGCATATGAACAGCCCAGCTCCCTTGCTCCCTGGAGATACCCTTTGAGATATATATTTTCTATCATCCCAGCATTTCCCTGGGAGAATTCACTCCCATCCCCACCTAGAGCCCCTGGATTGGCTGCTTTCCCCTCTTCCCTTCTCTACCTCACTTCCCCACACCCCAACTCTTTCATCCCATCCTTCTCTTGAGCTCTGACTCTGAGGCAAGTCCCTGCCCTCATAGAGCATTTATTCTGATGGGAGACAAAGAGAGTTGACCCATCGCACAAGGCCCCTCGCCTTCATCAGCCTGTGACCGAGCTTACTAAAGGACCAAGACGAGGCCACCTTTCTCACTCACCACCTGGATGTTTCCCTTTCCAGGACTATCCTTCCTACCCTGGCTTCCCTCAGAGCCAATACTCCCAGTATTACAGCTCATCCTACAACCCTCCTTACGTCGCAGCCAGCAGCATCTGTCCTTCCCCCATCTCCACGTCCACCTATGTCCTCCAGGAGGCATCACACAACGTCCCCAGCCAGAGTTCTGAATCGCTTCCAGGTATGTACAATCCCTGTCTTGTGGTCATTCATGGCTGTCCAGAAGGAGGGACTGGACTTAAGTCTCAGTTCTAATGAACTGTTCATCCAAGGACTAACTCTAGTCTTCAGATATATTTTGTTGGTGTGCGCGCACACGCGTGTGTGTGTGTGTGTGTGTGTGTGTGTGTGTGTTTTTGTCTGAAACCTACTGATGTTATGGAGCTCTGTAGAGTAAGCCAGCATGATGGTGTGTAGACATTAATTCAATAAATATTAATTGGTTGATGATTAGAAAAAGAATACCTCTTTGTTTCCTGGGGTTCTTTGTGCAGTTGTTGCTTTTTGCCCTTGTATTTTTCTTACCTGAAGGTGAATTTGATGTCCTTGGGTTGGCAATACATGAAGACAATATGGCCAATCATTTTCAAGTCAACTTTTGAGGAAATTTAGGGCTTGAGCATTGGTTTTGGTCATTGTGATCTCATTATTGGGTATTTAATGAATGCATCGTATCTATTTAGCAATTTCCAAAATGCTTCCTTTGAAGGCTATGAAATTTAACAAACTTTTTTTGGTCATAATCTTCAAGTATCTTGGACCATCCTTCTCAGATGTATAATGTGGCCTCCCCAAACCAGCTTCAGAAAGGAAATATAATCAGGAAATCTCCAAGCAAATTCCCCTTTCTACGATTTGACGGGGAACTGGATTCCACAGGCTTACTTCACAAGAATTTGGGTTTGGTGGGAAGGTCATTTTTGTTCCCCATCAGAAGGAAACATAAAGCCTCTTTGTGTTTCTTTGAAATATTTCTTTATTGTTCTTCATTTATCCTTTGGTCTACAGTTCAGTGATAAGTGGTTGAGATGGTTTTTACTGTGAGTCTAATAAGCGCACAGAAAATCTAGTGACATAATTGTCGGCTACAACCGAGATCCTGCCTCTTTTCCCCAGTGTCCATTATAAAGGAAGAGCATCAAGCATACACGTGTACACACACACACAGGCATTCCACTTTCCCATAAAAACTCCACTTTTGAAAGTATTCAGGATCTCCTTGAGTGGTTAGCTCCAAGCTCCAGAGGCTCGAGAGGTTTATGTATTACAGCGAGATCTCGCTCACTCGCGTGGCCTGATGCTCATCTTCCCTCCCCTCCATCCCCAGCCCCACTGCAGTGCACTCTGCATGGACATGCATTCACAGTCATATGAAGCCCCAACAATTTGCAGATGATTGCAGGGTAATTTGCTGATGTAAAGGGCAAAACCTGAACATCTGACGTTACTCAAGAGAAAAGACAAATCAGTAGTATGGCTTCAGAACTTCTTTTCTTTTAAATTTTTTTAAATATGATACAAATTATCTAAAAAGAAGTGGGAGGATTTTTTTAGACTTCTTAGGTCATTTCCTGTAGTCAATAGAAGAAAAGTTTTTTAAATCTCCAAAGAAGAAGAAACTTGGAAGCTTCTCCATGCAGTTTGGCAACCTCTAACTACATTACAAATGTGTGTACTCTTTAACCCAATTTTTCTACTTGTAGAAATTTATTTTAAAGATAAATTCCCACATAGGTCCAAAGACTTAAGTGAAAAGGTTATTTATTGCAGCAACATAATAGCAAAAGACTGGAAATGACATTAACAGGGGTCTGGTTAAATAGTTTATGGTGCATCCACCAGTGACATACTTACTATACATCTCTTAAAAAGAGTAAACTTGAGCCATGGCTGGTATGGCTCACTCAGTTGATTGAGCTTTGTCCTATGCACTGAAAAGTTGCTAGTTTAGTTCCCAATCAGGGCACATACCCAATTTGTGAGCTCAATTCTCAGGAGGGGGCCTGCAGGAGGCAGCCTATGGATGTTCCACTCTCACATTGATGTTTCTCTCTCTCTCTCTCTCTCTCTCTCTCTCTCTCTCTCTCTCTCTCTCTCTCTCTCTCCCTTCTCCCTTTCCTCTCTCTCTCTAAAAATCAATTTAAAAAAAATTTTAAGAGTAAGCTAATAAGATAAAAATAAAGAAAGAATATTTTTTAAAAAGAGTAAGCTAGACATATCTACACTAACATGAATCTCTCTGAGTGATTATGAGAGTTGGAAAAAAGCAAAGTGCAGAACTATGTGTATAATAAGATCCTGGGGTTTTTTTAAATATAGTTTAATACCCATATTTACATAGGAAATTTCTGGAAGGATTCAAAGGCAACAGTTAACATTTTCTCTGGGGAGGGAATTAGAGGAAAGAAGAGACTAGATGTTACAGACAGTCTATAGTCCACTCCATTCAACAACAGCAAAAGACTTTTTTTTAAGTAGACATGAGACATTTACCAACATAGACATATTCTGGGCTTTAAATCAAGTTTCAGTACATTTAAAAGGATTCGAGTCATATAAATAATGTTCTCTGAAAACAGTAGAATTAAATTAGAAATAAATAACAGACATGTTTTTGGAAAATTCCCAAATGTTTGGAAGGTAAATAACATACTTTTAATAACCCATGTGTGGTGGTTAATTTTGTGTCAACTTGGCTGGGCTAAGGGATGCCCAATCACAGGTAAAACCTTATTTCTGGGTGTGTCTGTAGAAGTGTCTGTAGGGTGTCTCCAGAAGAGATGAGCATGTGAATCAGTAGACTGAATAAAAAACATGCTCTCACCAATGTGGGTGGGCCTCATCTAACCCACTGAGGGCCCATACAGAGCAGAAAGGCAGAGGAAGGGCTGTCTCTCTCACTTCCTGAGGTGGGACGTCCATCTTTCCCGGACCTCAGACATTAGGGGTCTAGGTTTTCTGGCCTCTGGACTCCAGAACTGACATCAGGGATCTCCCGAGTTTCAAGTCGCCAGCAGCAGACAGGGAGTTCCACCATCAGCCCCCCTGGTTCTCGGGCATTTGAACACAGACTGTGTGAATCCATTTGTTTAAAACTCTAGCAAATGCAAACTAATTTACACTGAAAGAAAGCAGATCAGTTGTTGCCTGGGCAGAGAGGAAGAAGAGATTACATAGGCATTATAAGGAAACTCTTGGAAGTGCTGGATTTGTTCATTATCTTGACTGTGGTAATGGTTTTATAGATTTATACGTATGTCAAAAGTTATCAAATTGTGCACTCTAAATATATATGATTTGTTGTATGTCCATTATATCTCAATAAAGCTGTTAAATAAATTAAAAAAACATAAAAAGAGAGAAATACAAAGAGTAGAATGACTCCAAGAAAGGTTTACATAACATTGTTCTAGCCTGTGTACCTGACTATGACCTTAAACTTTGACTCTTCATTCTCAAGAATGTATAATGTGTGAGAAAGGACTGCTTATTTTGGAACCTCTAATAAGTTGGCTTTACATATACCATATTTAGACATTTCTAGGTAGGTAATAATATTAGCTTAATAATATTTGCTTGGATTTTAATGGTGACTATAGGTGGTTTCTAAGCTCCCATTCTCAGAACTACAAGTCAATGAGGATAAATCTTAGTTACATGATTCTTAAGCATCTGTGAATATGTTTACTGCCTGTTCCTCATGGTCCAGAAGAAAGTCTTTGCTAAATGGATGTTTGGGAACCTCGGATGCTGTATCCTGAAAATGATTGGGAGTTGGAGACAGCCCAGCAGTCCTGACAACTCAAAATCACGTCTCTTCTTGCCATGTTCTTAGTCTTCTAAGAAGTTTTTAAACATTAAATAAACAAAGTTCAGTCCTTAGGGTTTTGGAGGGAAATAATCCTTTCAGGGTAGAAAAAAACTCAGTCCATTGCCAAGTATTTTAGACAAAAGCATTTTCCCCTGATGATCCAAACCCTGGCAATTATGGAAGGAGAGGTGGAGTCTATATTTGGGAGCAAAACAAGCAGCTGGACAGTGAGAAAGTGGGATGGGACATCCTCTCAGGTTCCATGCTGGCTTACAGTTCTGTCACTCTACTGACAAGGGCAGGCCCAAGTTCTAGCTCCGGCTCTACCATTGATTTGCAGGATAAGACTTCATCATCTCACTAAGCCTTAGTTCCCTCATTAGTTAAATAAAGATAATCAAGTATAATTTTTAAAACCATGTATTTAAAATTTACGTGCCTAGCCCAGCCAGTGTGACTCAGTGGTTGAGCTTGGCCCATGAACCAGGAGGTCATGGTTTGATTCTGAACAGGGCACATGCCCGGTAGGGGTTGTACAGAAGGCAGCCAATCAGTAATTTTCTATCATTATTGATGTTTCTCTCTCCCTTCCTCTCTCTGAAATCAATAAAAACATATATATATATTTTTTTTTTTTTTTAAGAAAACGTACGTGCTTAGAAAAACAGTACAACGTGAGTGCTGACTTTGGGACCTGAGTCCTAGGAGGGTGCTGCTCACTTGTTCTGGGTCCTTAGACAATGTCCCAAAGGCATGTGTGTGGCAGCCTCTCAACACCCCGTGTCCAAAAACACTATATTGATGAGAAGCAGCCAGTGCCCCCCTCTGCCTTGCACCTTCTGACTGATCCTTGCATGCATGTGGGTTGAGTTGAGCATCTAACTGCCAGCCCTGTGTTGGATGTATGTAATCTCATTTAATTCTCAAATGGACAAGTCTCAAGCTGCATAGGGACAGGATCATAGAGAATTCTCCAACACCCTCATTAGCCCCAAGGGGGGTCTCTTAAGGGTAGAAGAATTTGAGGCCCAGCCACATATAAATAAGTGTTTTCTTCCTCTATTAGTGTATTTGTTCCCCCAGAGGTCTCACCCTCACTTTACTGAGATCCTTGTTCAGATGCCCGCTTATCCACAAGGCCTTCCCTGACTGGCCCGTATAAATTAGTCACTTCCAGCACTCCCTGATCCCCATGCACTTTGTTCATTCTCTATAAGCCATGTCTCCACCTGGCAAGTTACATATTTACTTGTTTGTCTAATGTCTCTCCTCTCTCTACAGTTTAGTTGCTATGAGCATCAGTGCCTGAAACCATGCCTACTCAGTAAATGTTTGTTGGCCGAATGAATGAGTATGAATGGGCAATTTAAGAGCCTAACAAGAGTGATTTTGATTCTACATGATCTTTGCCTTTGATGCTGACTTTGGGACCCACCACTTTGGCGATAGACAGTTTTGATGTGATATTTTCTGGGAGGAGACTCTCAGCAAAGCTTCCCTTTCCTCCAGGTGAATATAACACGCACAATGGACCTTCCACGCCAGCCAAAGAGGGAGACACAGACAGGCCGCACCGGGCCTCCGACGGAAAGCTCCGAGGGCGTTCCAAGCGGAGCAGTGACCCCTCCCCAGCAGGGGACAACGAGATCGAGGTAACTCCAACTGCCTCTGACTTGATGGATGTAATCTCCATCTGTGGCCTGAACAGAAGGGCAGGGGACAGAGTTCTGTCCACGAACATGGAGGAGAATGGCCACTTGCATTCACAAAGCGCAGTTACAGAGAAAAGAGCCCTTGGAGGAAATGTGGGGAAGAATTGGGCTGGCCACAGGGAAACACTATTGTCTGGCGGGCTAGGAAAAGTGGCCCTGAAGATAGTAAAGAACAGTGTGGTTCTCGAGCATAAGCAGCAGGAGAATCCTCGGGGACTAAGAAAAATCCAATCTGCTGGGCCCCACCCCCCAGTTTCCAATTCAGTAGATCTGGGACAGGGCCTGAGAATTTGCATATCTAACAAGTTCCCAGATGCTGCTGATGCTGCTGGGTTGGGGACCACACTGAGGGAGCCCCTAATACACAGGACAATGGGTATTGGACCTTCCTCACTGGGTCAGAGTGGTTCTTAACCTTGGCTACACATTAGAACCACCTGGGATGCTTTTAAAATATAGATGCCCAGGCCCCACCCCAGAGTAATGAAATGGACATTGCAGGGAGTTCTGAAAGCTCCCCTAGTGGTTCCAATATGGCCTAGATATCTAACTGCCCGGAAACAGGAGGCTGGCTCACATGAGCATGCATGGTTCCTATGGTTCTGAGCTTCTCAGACGGTGGTTCTCAGCCTGGGCTGCACCTTGGAATCTCCTGGGAGCTCTGAGAAATCTTCATTCTCAAGCTGGACCCCAGATCGACTAAATCAGACTCCCTGAGGACGGGAGCCAGGCATCAGGATGTTAAGCTATCCAGGTGATTCTGGCCTCTGCCCCAGGCTGAGAACGGCTGATGTAAGGGATGCCCCAGGCTTCACTGTAAGAAAGCAGGGGTAGGATTATTGGTCAGGCACTGACAGAAAGAAAGGAAGAAAGGAAGAAAGAAAGAAAGAAAGAAGAGAGAGAGAGAGAGAGAGAGAGAGAGAGAGAGAGAGAGAGAGAGAGAGAGAGAGAGAGAGAGAGGAAGGAAGGAAGGAAGGAAGGAAGGAAGGAAGGAAGGAAGGAAGGAAGGAAGGAAGGAAGGAAGGAAGGAAGGAAGGAAGGAAGGATGGAAGAGGAAAAAAACATAGGCAACTAGTATCCGTCAAGGGAGAAAAATGAGCATGTGCAGTAGTTTGTACTTATTTGTAAAAGGCAGTCATTCATTGGCTTGAGTGCGCCGTAGGAATGTGCATAGTGTTTCAAAGGCAGTGTCAGTGCAAAAACTCAAATGCATCATCACATCCCTATTCCTTATCCTGTCCAGTTCATATAAAGCTACAAAGCTCAGCCCACAAATTCAGATATGCTACGAAAGACCATTTTCATCATTTCTTTAAGATCAAGGTAATTTTGACCCTGAGTCCCCATCCCATCTGGGTGGGTAGGAAATAGCATATTATTATTGGGGACCCTCGCCTCCCAGAATTGTATGAGAATTTGGGGTATAAGTGGTCTCAGGAATCAGAAGAAGAGCTTCTAATGTCCAATGTGGCTTGGTCACTGCCACCCTCCTCACCATCAGTGCCTGCTATGGTCAGTGCAAGTCTACCACTCTCTGGGGTTTCCATGCTGTACATCAGCCATGGAAATCCTTGTTGAGGACAAGAACCTTGGACTATTAGCTACAATCCTTTAGTTGTGAGCAACAGAATCCAGTCCTGGATGCTTAAGCCAAAAGGATTTTACTGGGAGGAAGACATGAAACCAGGGTTAGAAAGAACAGTCGCAGGGAACCCTTGGAAGCAAGCCCCCGCTGGAGGCGAGCCATTGATTCTAGTGCCACGTCACTCCATGTTCCAATGCAAGGAGACAGCATCCCATGGGCCTGGCATGGCTCTTATGCTTTCCTCCAATGGACAGTCCCACCAAGACAGCACACAGTGGACAAAGAAGCAAACTGATGCTCTTGTAAGGGGAGGGGGGGGGCAAATAACAGATGCTCAACACCAGGGCATTTGACATTTACCCAGTAGTCATTGGTAGGGCTGTACTAATTACCCAGTGTTCACTGGTAGGGCTGTGTTACTCAGCCAGTGTTCACTGGTGGGACTATAGTGGTTATTTACAACTGGTATCTGTCCCAGTATTCCCAGATGTTAAGTATTTGGGACATCACGCTGACATCATGCTTGTCCCCTACATTTGGTCCACCTCCAGCAGCCATTTCCTCTGAGAGTTGACCACCCTGGAAGCCTGCCATGTGGGACTGTTCTCAATCCAGGGGATTTTGTCTTTGCTTTTCCTCTAATTCTTAAAGGCCCCCACCTTTCAAACTTGGGGAGACATTGCACAATCCCTCAGCAAAAGGAAGAGGGAATGTTTTGACTCCAGGTGGTCCCTGCTTTCTGCCCTCCCATATTCATAAGGGTTTTCTACCAGCTTGAAGTTGCAGAGCTATAGGAATCACCCAGAGCAATCCATTGTTTTTTAGTATTTAAAAAACAATATGCTTGTATGTTTAGTCAGTTGACATGGTTTCTACTCTTGGTAGGTGATGGTGGGGTAAAAAGACATTTTTTTCATTAAACTGAGGGGGAGGGGAGGTGGCATGGAAGTCGCAGATTGCAGGGTGATATTATTCTGGAAACATCTGCTTCTTGATTCCAAAGTAAGTACCACTGGGCAGGAACAGTTGAAAAGGTGTGAGCCGTGTTTCACTTCTGTGCTTCTTGTCACAGGGAGGGTTTGCAAGATCGCACCTCCTAAGTCTTGGCAGTTTTACTAATGACTGAAGCCCGTGAGACAGAAATTATATATAGAAGTGGAAAGCAGGAAAATTCTGAGTGTGTATTGGTTTAAATTCCTCGACTTCAGGTGCCAGAAACCAACTTGAGCTAGCTTAAGCGAAAAAGCAGAATTTATTTTAAGGATACACAGATTCTCTTAGAACCCAAGGGCAGGGACAGTGGCATATCAGCCTAGGACCACAGGTAGCCAGGGCAAGGAATTGCATTTACACTTCTCTCCCCTGTACCACAGCGAAGGTGCCAGAAGCTCCAAGCAAGCATGTTTTTTGAGTGCCCCAGGCACAGATTACTGGGCAAGTCCATTCTGCTTTTTTTTTAATATGTTTTTATTGATTTTTAGGAGAGAGGAAGGAAGAGGGATAGAAAGGTAGAAACATTAATGAGAGAGAAACATCATTGACCAGCTGCCTCCTGCATGCCTCCCTACTGGGGATCGAGCCTGCAACCCAGGCATGTGCCTAATGGGAATAGAACCGGTGACCTCATTGTTCCTGGGTTGAAGCTCTACCACTGAGACACACCGGCCAGGCTCACTCTGCTTCTAACTGAAGCCATGTCTTTCCATCTTTCACCTCTTTGTTCATCTCTCTCTGCAGACTGGCCTTCCCTGTCCTTCACATGTAGCCTCCAACAACCACCCAAAGATGATTAATTTCCTTCCAGGCCCTAATTTTAAGTTCCCAAGACAAGGCCTCTGACTCAAATGGGGTTGGTGACCCATCCTAGAGCAATCCAGTGGGCTAGGGTATAGGGTTACCTGCAGAATGGCCCCCAGGAACTTGCCCACCAAGGATCTAGGCCAGCGGGATAGAGTGCAGGCTAGTCAGGGGCAGGGACAGGCCTTCTTTAGAGGTGATGTAGGTAAATTAATTGAGCCTGCATTAAAATTGAAACTATTTGCTGATTTTTTAAATTATCTTACTAAAATGTCTAAGTTTAACCAACCTAGTTAGTTCAGATAAATTAGAACTAGCATATTTTTTTTTAATATATTTTATTGATTTTTCACAGAGAGGAAGAGAGAGGGATAAAGAGTTAGAAGCATCAATGAGAGAGAATCATCGATCAGCTGCCTCTTGCACACCCGCTACCGGGGATGTGCCCGCAACTAAGGTACATGCCCTTGTCCAGGCCAACGCTCTATCCACTGAGCCAAACTGGTCCCGGCAAGGACTAGCATATTTAAACTTCAGGAGCCCTCCTCAAAAACAGTGGTTTTTAAACATTTTACTATGACCCAAAGTAAGAATATACTTAATATCATGACCCAGCATTTACATATACATAAATATATAACAAGACAAAAATAATATGCCGGTCTGCAGTTTGAAGAAAAAAAAACTCACAAAAATAATACGCAGGTCAGCAGTTTGAAAATCCCTGCAATAACTGACCTTTTTACTTCTAGATACAACCCTTCTCTTTATCTTTAAGGACATGGCAAATGCTAAAGAATAAATACAGCCACTGAATTCCAGAAAGGTTTTAAAGGTGGCTCATTGACAATGGCATACTTAGCAGCTCCATTTATCCCCCATTCTGACCTTGCCAAAGACTAGCTATGTAAGTGATCACTAGGCCTTTGGTTCTTAAAAATAATGATCACTAGGAAAATTAGGACAACAGTATGAAAAACAAGGTCCAAGTTAAATAAATAAAATAAATATCAAGAAAGGTGAAAGAGAAAGGAAATGTTTAAAATTCTGATTGGTTTTCTTGTAAAGATTCAAGATCTTGCATTCTTAAATTAAGAGGCAGAGTAATACCTTAATCAATAAAGAAATTTAAAAAAATTAAGAGGCAGAGCTATTGGGAAAGGGACACTCAAAGGCAAACGAGTGTAAATTTTTAAATGTCTGCAAGAATCAGGAGTTTAATAGAAGAGTTGGAAGAGAAAGTTTAAGAAATCTATCAACAAAAAAGATAAAATTATAGAAAATACATTTTTTAAGATAAGCAGTATCAACTCAGGATGTCTAATTTGACTATTGGAAATTCCAGAGAGAACATTGGGAAAGATGGAAGGAACTTATTTAAAGAAAAAAGATCGGAAATGTGAATTGTATGAATGAAAAATAGACCACACCTAGATATACCTTTATGGAATTTTGAGGATACCAAGTATAAAGAAAAGATCCTTTTAAAAAAAATTCTAAAGAGAAAAAAAAAAAAAGTAAAACCTACAAAGGAATGAGGACCAATGAAACATCAGACTACTCATCAATCACGCTGGACACCACAAGCTGAGGAATTCTTTCAAAGGAATAGAGGGAATTGTTTTCCTGTTGGAATTCTGTACCCACAAGAACTGTAGAGCAAAATGAAGATATCACCAAATATGCAAGAATTCTGGAAAATTATTTCCCATGGACCCTTTCAGAAGAAGAAACTCAAAGATGTACTCAGGCACAACAAGGAAGAAAAGCAAGAAAGAGATTTGGGTTCTAGGAAACAGCAGATTTGACCCAAAAATAACAGTCATGCTAGCTATGCAGCAGACTAAAGATGATCCACACCATATTAGAGCATTCTGTCATGGAGGATGGACAACTTCGATACTGAGGGTGTGGCTGAATTTGAGATTCTAATAAAGGCACATTAATGGAAATGAGAAAAAAATTAAGGCAATTAATAAACTCCAGCAAAAACAAAGTTATATCTAACAGGTATGATTCCTATGTGAACAAACTGAGACATTGCATCATTTTAATTGGATGGAGTGCAAAAAAGGAGACTATGACCTTGATGGTAAGAACAGTCTTGGCTCTGGAGTTAGAACATTGGACCCACAGAGAATGAAGTGAAATTCTAGTACGTTACTTGGCTTTGCAGTGAACAGTCTTCACAAGATGTGAGTGCTCTTTACTGGTTACCAACTTGTAAAAGCAACATATTGACAGAGCAGAAAAGCCTTAAGTGTAGTTATTAAACCAAATGCACAAACCAGTTTATCCACCCTGACAATGCTGAAATAAGGTGAACGCTGATTGAGGGAAGGGAGTAGGGAAAAGGCTAGGGACTCCAATATTCATATCTTCGTATTGGATTTACTGTTTTAGCCAAGGAAGAATATCCAAAGCTGATGGAAAGGAAAGTAGAGGCATTCATATATGGGGGGAAATAAACCCCAAATCTTTCAGTCAAAAAATATTGTCTAAAGTTGGCACATCAATAAACAAAGATATAAGTGTGTTATTTAGAGTTAACCAAACAGAATTGCTAAAAAGAGAAATGGTCAGAAGTAGCTGGACTTAATGGTGAGCTATGAATGTCAAATGCTAATATTTCATTTTGTCAAGTGAGCTATATGATTTTTATTGCTATTTCTGGACTGAACTTTTCCTTTTTTGAGCTTTTATGTGGAAGGCAGGAATGGGCTTCTTGGTTCTGGCATTGACTGGGTTGAGAGGAACCCAAAACTTGGCCATCAGCATATTCTTTACACAGCTGAGGTTGGATGGGGACATAAGGATGCATCAGTAGGTCAGAATGTTTTATAACTTAAAGATGATGTTTTTCAAGACTTCTTTTTCCTCCAGGGAATTAATTCCTGCAGACATTAAGTCAGACGCAAGTGAGTCCATTTGTCTCCATTCTCTTCCTCTCTTTTTATCACAGCGTGTGTTCGTGTGGGACTTGGATGAGACAATAATTATTTTTCACTCCTTACTCACGGGGACTTTTGCATCCAGATACGGGAAGGTAAGAATCCATTTGTCTCTCTTTTTTTTCCAACATGACTTTGTGTGCAGCTGATTTGTCCAGGGAATTGTGGGGGCAGTTTATGAGGCAGCTTCTCTACACAAAAGCAGTCCCTTTGGGTCTGCCTCTGTTGGAGAAAGCCTACGGAATTTTCCCCTAATATGTGAACATTGAATTAGCTTCCCCTTCTATTGTCTCCCATGCCTTTTCTCCCAACACATGAAGCATTGAACAACCCACTTGATGAGATAGAAGCTCATAGTCGTTGGCTACCTTCTTTCTAAGAGGGCCAGGATACACTGCAGTCCAAACCGGGTGATCCTAGCTTTAAATAAAATGAGGTGAAATCTTTTTTCTTCTTCCCTGTTGTTTATCTTAGTGTTTCCAGCAGTTGGATTTAATTTTCCTTCCGTTTTTCTGAGATGAGGGGGAGGCATTTTGTCAGCTCCAGCATGGAACTTAGCAGCAGCTTTGCAAATGTATCCCTGACAAATGATGTTGGGGAACCATTCCCTTAGAATTCCGGGTAGTTGCTAAGGGCTGATTGGTGGCGAATGGAAGAAACATTGAAACCACCTGAAGAATGCAAAAATGGGCCAAATTGCGAACACCCAAACCCTGCTGATTCTTTGCATCCATCCTGTGGGCTTCCCAACAGACCACATGTGATGCACCAGATGTCTGCCATCCCTACAGACAGGTGGGGGTGGGAGGGTGGCGAGTTCCCATCTCATCCGGGGTGAACGACCTGTTGGCAGCTGCTTCCACGCCTGGGTAGGAACCATGAGACTCGCCAGCGCCTGGAAAATATTTCTGTTTCTGTTTAGAGACCAGGAATATGATTTGACATCACCTCATGGCTTTTCCAGCTGCTCGCGTTTTTTATGGGAGGTATAACAAGCTGGATGTGCAATTAGCAAGATAGATTTATCGTCTGCCATTATGTTGTAAAGAATATAAAAATGGTGTTGGTGGTGCAGAAATATCTTACGGTTGTAGGAATGCCGTTAATATGTCTAGCAGTGCCTGCGGGAAATCCGGCATGTGTGTTTGGTCTATGCACAGGTTAGGTAAAGGAGGGCAGAGTCAAGAGCTTCAGAAAACAGCCGAGTGGAGTTGGCCACCGTTGCCAAGAGTTGGGACTGTTCCGAGAGGCTGCTGTAGGGAGTTGCTCTCCAGCTCTGGGTGTTCTGCGGGTTTTCTACCCACCTTCACCCTGGTCAAGTCACCTTCCCAAAAAGCATTCCTTCACCCTTTTTTCCCTTAGAGATAGCCCACTCTGAGGTTGTACACCTTGTGCAGCAATCGGTTCTCGGGAATGGTATAGGGCTTTGTCATCTTGAGGATGATTTTTGTGTCTGTGTCCCACCACCACCACTTCTTAAACCGAATTGTGGGCTCCCTCAAGGCAGAGGCAAAGCCAGGAAAGAGCTGCTTTCAAAAAACCCCATGTCACCTGGTCCATAGGATTCCTCCTTGCCAACCACCTCTCCAACCCTAACACCTAATCCCAGCTACCCTCACCTCCAGCTATCTGGTCTCTCAGCTCCCACTCTTGCCCTTTATATCCCCCCCACACAAGCCTGTCCTATCACTCCCCCTACTGAAAAGCCATCAGTGGGCTCCCATCGACAAGCCCTAGCCCCAGCCTCCAGGGCTCTTCAAGAGCTGGCTCTTGCCCCACTCTCTAGCCCCATCTTCTCCTACTCATCCTGAGTCGCTTTCTGTCCTTGAACCTGCTACGTTCTCGCCCATATCCACTGAACTTCTTCCAGAAACAGAGCCTCAGACAAATGAGTGCAGGTAGTTTATTTGGGGGTGGAATCCAAGAGACATTCGATGCAGAGGGAAGAAATGAGGCAGCCCATGTAGCGTGCATAAATAGTTACTATGGTAGCTGGGGTTCAATTCCACTGGGAACCCTCAGAGTTGACCCACCCAACAAATGAGGGTGCTGATATATTTATCTACAGGTTCCCTTCTGTCATGGGTTGAGGGCAAGGAAAGCCTTGGCATGTACAGGAATAGTGACAGCTGAGGGGACCTGGGAAAGAGGCACATCAGAAGCCTTTACTATATCTATAAAGTTGTTTTACAAGGTCAAATCCTATTTATCTTTTCAGTGCCTCCAAGAGGACTTTCCATCTAAATTGCATTTCTCCCCATAACTGTATTTTTTTATTTATAATTATAATTCTATACTTAACTGCCTTTATCCCTCCTAGGATATCTGTACAGTGAGGGCAGGGACCATGAACATTATTTTATCAACCCAACAAGTCAATGCATGGTCCAGAATTGCTCAATAAATATTTGCTGCATGAATGAATCAGCATGATTCTCTAGAATGAAAGCTGTGTGACGACAGGCACTCTTTCTCCTTTTGTGTTTGCTGCTTTGTCCCCAGGGCATAGGACAAAGTGCCCCCCACATAGTGGACATCAAATAAATATTTGTTGAATAAAGGAAGGAAGGAAGGAAAATAATACCAAAACAAAAGATTTCTAACTGATGGCTGCCAGCCAAATTCAGCCTGCAGACATTTTTAGTTTGGTCTCTAGAGTGCTTGGAAAAAATGTGAATTTGTTGCCAACACTTAAAAATCAGGAGACTGCACAGACCAAAACAATCTAGATTTCTAGCTCTTCTTGAAAAATTATAAAGTTTGTCTATCCTACATTCCCAAAGGCAGCTATCAGCAGGAGCAGAGTAGCAACTGCCTTATTATTAGGCTGTATGCTCTGCAGCCCATCCACAGCCCCAACCCGGCCTATTTAATTTGTTTATGGGGCCCTGCTGGCCCCATTAGCATCTGAATTTCCTTCTTTTTTTAATGCCATATCATTTTTGAGTGAACATGTCTTTTTTAAAGTATATATATATTTTTTATTGATTTCCGAGAAAAAGTGAGAGAGAGAAAGAGATAGAAACATCAATGATGAGAGAGAATCATTGACTGGCTGCCTCCTGCATGCCCCACACTGGGGATCAAGTCTGCAACCCGGGCATGTGCCCATGATAGAAATCTAACCTGGGACCCTTCAGTCCGCAGGCCATCACTCTATCCATTGAGTCAAATCAGGTAGGGCTAGCATCTGAATTTCAACATTCATCCTGGAATTACAGAACCACAGAACCTCAGAGCTGGAAGGACCTAGGAGACCATCATGCCCAATTAGTCTTCATGGTACATAAAGAGAAACTGAGGCTCAGCAAAAGATCATCCAGGACAGAATGAGTCATGCTTCAGGCTCACATACCTCCTTGTGCTCTCGGGATGTGCAGGGAAAACTGAGGTGAGAAGCTATTGGAACCCCCAAGTGTCCTGTACCATCTTCATTACTCTTGTAGAATTCCCCCCTCCCTCCTCCATCTCTCTCTTAGGTGAGAAATTAGTATTTTTTATTTACTAAATCCAACAACCCTGAGAGAGATTCAAAATAACTGTGGCTTAAACAAGATAGAAAATTCCCCTAGCCCCGTGGTCTGCAAACTGTAGCTCTCGAGCCACATGTGGCTCTTTGGCCCCTTGAGTGCGGCTCTTCCACAAAATACCACGGCCTGGGCAAGTCTATTTTGAAGAAGTGGCATTAGAAGAAGTTTAAGTTTAAAAAATTTGGCTCTCAAAAGAAATTTCAATCGTTATACTGTTGATATTTGGCTCTGTGGACTAATGAGTTTGCCAACCACCTAGCCTAATAGGTGTAGCAGTTCAAGCTGGCAAGGCTGCTATAGGACACCAGGGAACTTCCGTCTTACTCTCTGCCATCTTAGCATTGCCCTCGTTGCCACGATAAGACATAACTCACTCTGTGTCTGGATTCTAGCCAGTTAAAAAGGGGAAGAGGAAAAGGGAAGTTCACCCCTCTATCTTTCATTTCATTTTATTTTATTTTATTGTATTTTTTGTCCCTCTTTTTAAAGGCCAGACCCAGAAGTTACACATATCATTTCCATTCACATCCCATTGGCTGGAATTTGATCACATGGCCACACCTAGCTGCAAGGGAGTCTGAGATGTGTAGTCTAGTCATATGCCCCTTTAAAATCTAGAGGCTATTTTTCTCAGAGGGATAAAGGAAGAATTGCTATTGGAAGACAACTAGCAATTTTCAGCACAAAGTACTATGTAATAAGAGGAAGAACAATGAAAGAAAAATATTGTGGAAAAATAAAATCAGTGCTGTTCAAAAGTTCTGTTCAATTGGATTTGTAGGCCTGAAGATCCAAAGAGAAGTCTGGACTATAAACGTGAAGGTCATAAAATTATAGAAGATCTAGAGGAACAGGAGAGCATGAGCCCCATTTTGCAGACAGAGTAACTGAGACACAGGGAGGTTATATAGTCAAGGTATTCACAACAGAGCTAAGACACTTGGCCTTGACTTTTTGCCCATAGCTCTTAATCTTTGTGCTTTTCCAGTAGCTGCAGCCATGTGGAGCTTATTATTAATATCTAGTATTATCAACAGTAAAAATAAAAATTTAAAGAAAAAACAATAGCTAGTATCAAGCAGGACTCTCAGTGTGAAGAAAAGATTATTTAGGTTACAATGGAAACTTACTGGATCACAAGAAATGAAAATTCCAGGGGTATATGGGATTCAGGTTGGGCTGGATCCAGGAGCTCAAGCAGTATTCTCAGAGTTTAGTGTTTCTGCACCCCTCAGCCAACTTTCTTCATATAGTGGCTCCCTCTCAGCAATCCCAACTTAAAAAGGAGACCTCTACTTCCCAAATTCCAGCGCAATTCTCAGGCTTGAATCTCACTACCCCCAACTGGGTCAAATGCCCATCCACTCACCAACCTCTGTGCCTCTGATTGGCAAGCCTAGATCAACAGCCCATTTCTGGCATGGAGAGAGTAGAGAATCAGGTCGGCTCCATCCCAACCAAATGAACCCTGTGAAAAAGCGTGGTCCCCCAAAAGAAACTGAAGTGCTCTTTCCAGAAGAGGGTGAAGGCTATGGAGGTCCAGAATTGGCTCTGAAGTCGAAGAC